GTGCCCCTCACTCCCGACCCGCAGCCCCCTGCTATCCCAGCCCTGCGCTCCCCGCAGCTCTGCCAGTGCCCCTCACTCCTGACCCGCAGCCCCCTGTGATCCTAGCCCTCGGCCTACCTAGCTCTGCCAGTGCCCCTCACTCCCGACCCGCAGCCCCTGCTATCCCAGCCCTGGGCCTCTCTTGCTCAGAGACTGGTAACTAAGGCCAAACTTTTCGAAGTGGCCACTGCTTTGGGAGCCTGAGAGTTTGTGGAGCCCAGTGGGAGACCCCTGGGCTGGGAGTGGGGTCCTTCGAGGCTGGCTCTCCCTTGGCTGGGGTGGGGCAGGGGAAAGTGAAGGGGGGAGGAGTGATGGGGGTATTGGGGGGTTGGGGGAAGGGGGTAAATGTGGGGGCAGGGGGTGGGGGAGGGAGGCAGATACCTGCTCACTCTGGATGCTCTGTACCAGCGCCAGAGACTTCCTAGCGCTGAAGATCTCGACCTGCCGTGGGGAGAAACAAATCAGCCAGGAGAGAGATGGGGCTGCTCCCGCCATGTCTCCCTGGCCAGCAACCTCCCCTGGGGCCTGTTCCCGTGAGGAGGAGCTGGGAGCCCGGAATAGGGGGTGGCCCACTGGGGTGCTTGGTGTGGAGGGGTCTCTGGGAGCCCCACAGTTGCAGGGAGGAACCTGCCCACCCCCCCCCATACACAACCTGGAGCACATGATGCCACCTGCAGGACAGGGAGAGAATTACATACATGAGAGCAGGGCCATGAGCAGCCCATGGCAGCTCTGCTCCCCCAGCCCGACACAGCCGGGGGGAGGGGACGATGCCTCATGCTCAGCAGCTCAACCCGATGGTGCCCCCCGATACTCACCACCCCCAAGGTCGTTCTCTTGTTGGGGACGCCCACGACATACTCTGCGAAGGAAACACAAGAGTCCCCGCGACCCCGGGGGCAGAGGGTGCTGAACCGCTGGCACAGTGTGCCCGTCCCAAAGCCAGCCCCCCCCAGGCCCCAATGAGGGACCTGAAGGGGACAGGCGGGGGGCAGAGGGCACAGGAACAGGCGCTGCCCCTCTCTGGGAAGGGCTGCACTGGCTGGCTCTGCCAGACCCTGGAACCTGTGTGGCTCGGGCTCTGCCAGGCTCCGGGGGCATCGCACAGACAGTGCCTGCCTGGACAGCCCTTGCCTATGCAGCGACCAGGGCAGCAGGCAGCCAGGTGCATGGGGTGCTCTAGGCAAGGCTGGGGAGCCCCCAGCCCTTGGGGAGGAGGGTAGAATCAGATACAGCCCCAGGACTGGAGGACTGTGCCCTGCTGGAAGGGAGAAGCAGGTGGGCAGGTCTGGCGGGCAGGGACTCTGGGGCAGGGAAGCCCGGTGGGCAGAGGACTTGGGTGTGGGGGAGCCCGGTGGGCATGGGCTCCCTGGCTGCAAACCATTGCTGAGGGCAGAAGCCCTGTTTGCCCGGGGGTGGCAGCTGGCGAGGAGCCCCTCACCCTCCCTGCTCCCAGCCCTGTGCCCTGGGGGCAGGCAGGGGTGGGGAGGTCACCATGGGCGTGGCCGGGGTGGGCGAGCCAAGTCTGCTCCTTTTGCTGCCCCTGGAGCCCGGCTGGCAGCCCCAGAGCGCTGTGCAGCTTCGGGGGGCACCACACAAGCCAAGGGCAAATCCCCTACCTGGCGTGGCGGGGTCCCCGTCGAACTCCCCCACGGCCACCGAGTACCCTGCAGAGAGAGGGAGCAGGGTTAACCCTTCGAACGCCCCTGCCCGCCGCACGTGCCCAGGGCAGAACGACCGGCACCCGGGGGAAGGAGATGCCAGTGGTTAGAGCCGGGCGGGGGGGGAGGGAGGGAGCCAGGACTCCTGGGTTCTGTCCTCAGCTCAGCAGGGGAGCGGGGGGCTGGGAGCCAGGACTCCTGGGTTCTCACCCCGGCTCTGGAGGGGAGTGGGGTCTAGTGGGGTAGAGAAGGGGTGGGGGCTGGGAGCCAGGACTCCTGGGTTCTCTCCCCAGCTCTGGAGGGAAGTGGGGTCTGGTGGTTAGACCGGGGGCAGTGTGGACTTGAATACTGCGTACAGATGTGGTCTCCTCATCTCAAAAAAGATATACTGGCATTAGAAAAGGGCAACTAAAACAATTAGAGGTTTGGAACGGGTCCCATATGAGGAGAGATTAAAGAGGCTAGGACTTTTCAGCTTGGAAAAGAGGAGACTAAGGGGGGATATGATAGAGGTATATAAAATCATGAGTAATGTGGAGAAAGTAGATAAGGAAAAGTTATTTACTTATTCCCATAATACAAGAACTAGGGGTCACCAAATGAAATTAATGGGCAGCAGGTTTAAAACAAATAAAAGGAAGTTCTTCTTCACACAGCGCACAGTCAACCTGTGGATCTCCTTTCCTGAGGAGGTTGTGAAGGCTAGGACTATAACAGGGTTTAAAAGAGAACTGGATAAATTCATGGAGGTTAGGTCCATTAATGGCTATTAGCCAGGATGGGTAAGGAATGGTGTCCCTGGTCTCTGTTTGTCAGAGGGTGGAGATGGTTGGCAGGAGAGAGATCACTTGATGATTCCCTGTTCTGTTCATTCTCTCTGGGGCACCTGACATTGGCCACTGTTGGAAAACAGGGTACTGGGCTACATGGACCTTTGGTCTGACCCAGTCTGGCCGTTCTTATGTTCTTATGACTCTGCCAGTGCCCTGCTGGCACCAGGGACAGCCATCTCTCCCGTGCCCAGCCACGTGGTGGGCAGGTTGCTCGGGGAGGCTGCGCTCACCTCTGTAGGCGTCATCATAATCCTCGTACATGTCCTCCGTGACCTGCTCCGGGGCCACGGACCAGAGCAGGGCGCTGCCGGGGACTTGGGACACGACTGCCGACAGATTGACCGAGTAGATCAGCCCTGGGGGAACATCCAGGGCTGCCCGTGAGTCAGTGCCAGGGGCCCTGCTCGGAGCAGGCAGGGGCTAGGGATGGTGAGAGAGGGAGGGTGCCCCTGCCCAACATGGCCATCCTGCACCCCCACCCCATAGTACCCCCTTCGCCAGCCTCACGCGCTAGCTCCTGGGGGTCCCCACGAGGGGGCAGTGCCGTGGGCAGCTCCCTGCCTGAGAGGGATGCTCCATGCTACAGACCCGGGGGGTGGGCAGCCTCTGCCAGCCACAGTGGGACACCACGGACAGGTTGGGCCTGGGGCTGTGGATCAGGCAGGGTCAGTTCCAGCCCCCTGGCCCCTGGGCACAGGCAGGCGCGGTGCCCCCAGCACAGCTGAGGGGGGGAGCCCTGGGGTGGGTTCATGGCTCCACTGGAAGTGTCGTAGGCAATGGCAGCCATGCCAAGGGGCACTGGGCTCCCCCTCCCCCCACAGTCCCCAGAGCCCCCCAGGAACCAGAGCCCTTACCCACAAAGTAGTATCCTCCCGGGGCACCCAGCACCAGCCTGCCAGCCTGCAAGGGAACAGGACAGGCCTGAATGAGAGCCCTGCCCGGAGACACCCCCATGAGCACGCGCACAGCCCCAGGCACACACAGCCCCCCCACGGGCACGCGCACACCCCCAGGCACACACAGCCCCCCCATGGGCACGCGCACACCCCCAGGCACACACAGCCCCCCATGGGCACGCTCACACCCCCAGGCACACACAGCCCCCCCATGGGTGGGCACACACCCCTAGGCACACACAGCCCCCCCATGGGCACGTGCACACCCCCAGGCACACACAGCCCCCAACGGGCGGGCACACACAAGCCCAACGGGCACACACAGCCCCCCCACAGGCACTCCCCCCATGGGCACATGTGCACACACCTCCATGGGCACACACACTCATGGGCACACGCCTACACACACAGGCACTCCCCCAAGACCCCCACCACCATGGACATCTGCAGACCTGGGTGCCCCCGGGCTGTACTCACGTGGGTGATGGTGGCGCTGAAGCCCACCTCGCAGTACCGCTTGTCGTTGACTGTGGCGAGAGGCACAAGGCAGCGTTAGCGCCACGCTCCTGGGGCAGGGGGCCTGAGGGATGTTGGGGGGTCGCCCCTGCGGAGTTTGGCTGTGAGCTTCGCTGGGCAGAGCCAGGCTTCCAGGCCGGACCAGCACCCACTCATCTGCCCCAGGCAGCAGGATGCCAGACAGCGCAGGGCTCTGCCTCTCTGAGGGGCTGCTCGGAGCTGGCAGCTCCGGTGTCCATCCGTGGGTCAGTGCCCCGCAGCCAGCCTGCTCAGCAGGGAGTGAGCTGCTGGGCCCACGGGGCAGCCGGACGCCTGGGTTTGGCCTTCCCGGGGTGAATCTAGGGCCCAAAGGCCTGGGCACAGAGATCTCCCTGCGTGGGGCCCCCAGGGGCACACGGGCTGAGTGTGCTGCGGGCACGGAGGGACTGGGAGTGAGGCCTGAAACGGACAACAATGAACACGGGGGAGGGGCCCCCCGGATGCCCCCAGTGCCCCTCTGCCCCAGGATCCAGCCACCGCGCCTCACGGGGTCTCCGGTGAGCTCCCTGGCCTCGGCACCACAAGGGGAGTTGTGCCCAGAGGGTGCTGAGAGTGATAGGCTGGCCCTGGGCACTCTGTGCCTCAGTTTTCCAATCTGTATAAGAGAGTGGGGCTACTTCACTGCAAAGGGGCTGAGGGCTCAGCCGGGAAGGTTGGTGCTGACCCAAGCCACGCGATGGGGGAAGCGGGTGAGAGGGACGTGGGCACCTGCGCATGGGGGCGAGGGATGGTGGGGCTCCTCCCAGCGGGGAGCTCTGAGTGTCGGCACGAGAGGAGCAGCAGCATCGGCCTTGGGCCTGGCCCCCCCGGGGATGAGCAGCATGTGGGGGGGAGGACCGGCACCGAGGGGGGGAGTCGGGGCGGGGAGCCGGCGTGGCTGTAGGGGGATGGGGGGAAGCGTCCAAGCCAGATGCCCCCCCGGCCCTGCTCCACGTGCTCAGCCCGGCCGCTGCTGTTCCTGCCCCTGC